CGTATTCTTTTAAAGTAGGTCCAAATATTGACGAGTCATCCTAAATGCTTAACCGGCTGACTTAGAGGCTTACAAGGAGGCCCTTGGTGCCTCACAAGTAATCCTAGATGTCTTTTGAGGGGTTTGGGCTCATCATAATCTGTGCTACTTGGAACTTTTTGTTCGGAGTAGCTGAATATAAAACAACAACAACAACATCTTTGTGCAACAAACTCAGGAAATTCAAAATTTATCTCGCCATACTATCCTGTCTGTGTATTCTTTATTCAACAGTTAGTGTGTTTCTATATATTTAACACCCATCAGACAGTTATATTGCATTCTTCATCCATCATTAAGCTTCGGTGGATGATCTTCTCAATAGTCTCTTACTGTAAGTTTCTTTTCCAATAATCCTATGCAAAGGCTCTCCTGTGATCCTATGCCAAGAATCTGTTTCTGTGTGTTCCTTACCCAACAATCTCACCCTGTGTGTTCCTATGCACATAAATGTCTCTCTATATTTCTCCCTCATGTCCAACAGGCAGCTTCAGGAGGCGTATTTAGTAAAATAAATTATTATTTACTAAAAGGCTATTCGAACTTCGTTTCTGTTAAATACTTTGACGCAACATAATTACATTGAAACGTTCCTTCCTGTATTGACTTCTAACACTGTAGCCTATTTTCATTATTAATATTGTTAATTATATGATAAACGCCGAGTTTAATTTGTTGGTAAGAAATAAGTTATTTTCTAAAGAGAGAATGAAGCCAGTTTAATTTATGTTTGATTAATTCTAATTTGTTAAATTTGCGAATTACACTTCAGAAACATGCACTGAGAATTATCATTTTATATCGAACTGGAAGCGATTTTTTTACCATGTAATCTAGTTTTAGGTTATTTTTGTAATTTCAGAATATAATTCAATAATTGTTTATATATTTTTTAAACTTTGAAAAATAAAAAAAACGAGCAATTAGCTAAAACATGATATATAAGTTTTACGTGAGCTTCATGTCACCAGGAAAAACTTTACCTTCTCTGTTTTAATTTAACTGAAATATTCTAAAATAAAAATAAATTGTCTTTATTTGTGAGCAGTCTGTAAGTGTTGTGGCGTAACACACAGAGTTGGGGAGACGCAACACAGAGGGCTGCAAAGACGCAACACACAGGCCTCATGAACTAGATCTATCTTCCTCATCTTGTAAGAGATGAGGAAGAGATCCTATTTTACACAACAAGAAAGTTTCTCATTCAGTTGACAATATTTCACATTATTTTTATTGAAGATACACAAGACATATTTTACATGATGGAGTCTGATAGTAGAGAAGCAGTTATTTTATTCGAGGGAAGTTGAAAGTACATTAGCATATTTTTCACACGAGAGAAAGTTCACGTGAAGAGTTGTATATTTCTCAGGGGAGGAAAGTTCATTCATGTGTAGAGCTGTGTATTTCACAGGTAGGAAAGTTCATTCATGTGTAGATCTGCATATCACAATAAACAAAGTTAAAGGGGGAAGAATTCTATGTTTAATACTAGTGAACATTCGGAAGTTGAGTTCTTTCACACGAGGAAAACTTGAGGTGCAGACTTCTATATTTCACAAGAGGTGAAAGTTCAGGTGTTGAATTCAGCAATTCACACAACTAAAAGTTTAATTGCAAAACTCTGTATTTCACACCAGGAAAAATGTCTAATAACCGAATGCATTACAAAAAATACAGAAGGAAAATATTTTGGAACCAAATGTGTTCGAAAACGTACGCTGGATGGATAAACATGGATAGAGAGAGGATGGATTATTGGGATGCCTAACCTAACCTATCCTTACCTAACATTGAGGGAGAGGACTGGTTGTTGAAATACCGTGAGAGAAGAAGGTGGACGATGACTCAAAATCCTGATTCAATATGTTATTGCTACTTCATTGCCTTATCTGACTAGCATAGAGTACATTGTTGCTTCTGTAATTGTACAAAGCTTTAGTAAGTCATATTTTTTTTTTAGGAATCAGCTTTTAAGGAATATTTTATGAACAAAACATCCAATTTTTTATATCTTATATCTTAATTATATCTTAATATAATATTACCTTGGGCATAATATCTTAATTCTAATGGTGTTCACACTAAATAAATGTAAATTGTGTTAATGTTTTGTAAATAATTAAATTGGTTATATTATATTACGATATCAGTGTTCATTCACCTTGTGTGTTTATTTCTTGGTAAATTATTTTACAAATTGCATCCACCAACATGATGCAACATTCACATAATGGAAAGCTCATGAACATCACTCGTTATCCTCACGATGCTCCAGGGAGCGGGACATGCAGACATTACTCCCATGATGGAGGTACAGTAAGGGGACACACATGAGAAATAGTAAACTGATGAAGGTGGAGGGGACCAAAAAAATGATGTGCAACGCAAGAGTGTTGATTATGTAATAATGATTCTGGATTGAATAATGCACGAATTATGAGAAGGATCTCTGGAACCCTTCTCAGGATATTTGTTTCACGTGCACCTTAACGTGTCCAGTACTTTCACCACTAGGCCACAATGACTGTTAAAAAGTATTGGAAGTCGTAAGATCCTGGTAAGTAACCGAGTGCTGTTGGAAATTGGGTTAAGGGTCTTTCGTCTTCCAATTCTGTTTACAGTCGTTGTGGCCTAGTGGTGAGAGGACTGGATACGCTAAGGTGCATGGAGTCCCTGGCTGTCTGGATTCGAATCTTTCTACCCTCTAGTTGAGAGTGTACCACCTCTGGTGCGAGTGTAGGTACCCATAGGCTCGGAGAAGAAAATAAAGAGAATTCAGAGGAGACCTTTTGGATTCTCAATGAACACTTTAATATTTTCTTCTCTTCTTCTCTCTCTCTCTCTCTGTACTCACCTAGTTGTGCTTGCGGGGGTTGAGCTCTAACTCTTTGGTCCCGCCTCTCAACTGTCAATTAACTAATGTAGCCTACTGGGATCTATAATATCTACACCTGAAGCTGTGTATGGAGTCAGCCTCCACCACATCACTTCCTAATGCATTCCATTTGTCTACTACTCTGACACTGAAAAAATTCTTTCTAACGTCTCTATGGCTCATTTGGGCACTCAATTTCCACCTGTGTCCCCTAGTGCGTGTGCCCTCTGTGTTAAATAGCCTGTCTTTATCTACCCTGTCAATTCCTCTGAGAATCTTGTATGTGGTGATCATGCCCTCTCTAACTCTTCTGTCTCCCAGTGACGGAAGGTTTAATTCCCGTAGTCTCTCCTCGTAGCTCATACCTCTCAGTTCGGGTACTAGTCTGGTGGCAAACCTTTGAACCTTTTCTAGTTTAGTCTTATGCTTGACTAGGTATGGACTCCAAGCTGAAGCCGCATACTCCAGGATAGGTCTCACATATGTGGGATACAAAGTTCTGAAGGATTCCTTACTCAAGTTCCTAAAGGCCATTCTTATGTTAGCCAACCTGGCATATGCCGCTGATGTTATGCTCTTGATATGAGCTTCAGGGGACAGGTCTGGCGTGATATCAACCCCTTAGGCCTTTCTCTCTCTCTGACTCTTGAAGTATTTCATCTCTCAAATGATACCTTGTATCTGGTCTTCTGCTCCCTACACCTATCTTCATTACATTGCATTTGCTAGGGTTAAACTCTAACAACCATTTATTCGATCATTCCTGCTGCTTGTCCAGGTCTTCTTGAAGCCTCAAGCTGTCCTCCTCTGTCTTAATCCTTCTCATAATTTTGGCGTGTGTGTGTGTGTGTGTGTGTGTGTGTGTGTGTGTGTACTCACCAATTTGTACTCACCTATTTGTACTCACCTATTTGTGCTTGCGGGGTTTGAGCTTTGGCTCTTTGGTCCCGCCTCTCAACTGTCAATCAACAGGTGTACAGATTCCTGAGCCTACTGGGCTCTATCATATCCACATTTAAAACTGTGTATGGAGTCAGCCTCCACCACATCACTGCCTAATGCATTCCATCCGTTGACTACTCTGACCCTGAAAGTTCACTGTGTGTGTGTGTGTGTGTGTGTGTGTGTGTGTGTGTGTCTGTGAAAACACTTCCACATCCAAGGTCAAGACAGTTTCATCAAAACCGACAGAAAAAAATATTTGCTTTACATTTCTTCTTATCTTGAAGCAAGCCAATATCCTTTACCTCACATAGGTACATCTCCCCATCACATCTCAAGTGTATGTGTGAGTGTGTGACCCTTCATCATTTCTCAGAAGAGAGTCTCTTCCTCACATCTCTCTCTGGAGTGCGGCTCTTAATCATATCTCAGGAGTGGGTTCCCCTCGTTCGACTTTACGTCAGCTGCTAATAACATTAGAGAAATTTAATTCTCAAATATTTTCATAGCGATTTCTTATGGAGCCTAATCACGTTTTAATGAGAAAACTTGGACGGCCCTGTCCTTAGGGGTGGCGAACGATAAGTTATCTTTGTGGCCACAGGATAGTCCAATCATCCCTTGGGAGCGAGTCACGGCTTGGAAAACACGGAGGAGGATGCTCGTGGACTGGAAAGAAGAGAGAGAGAGAGAGAGATGGAGAGTGAGATTGTGGGTAAGATAGAGGGTGATGGGATAGGTAAGAGCTTCCCTCTTCCCTCATGAGAGGCTGGGTGAGAGGGAATGTGATAGGATGGGAATGAGAGAGGGTGAGATAGTGAGGGAGTGGGGGAGGAGGATGAGAGAACGAGTGAGTGGTTGACTGTTAAATAGGGTGATTAGATAGGTGTGAAGGAAAGTGACAAGTTTGATGCTAAAGTGGGCAAGAGGAAGTCTGAAAGGGAGTTTCAGAGGGATGGTGAGAAAAGCAATTTGAGCGGAAGAGTGAGAGATAATGTGGGATGAAGGGCGAGTATTCGGCACCAACTTGGAACCCCTCACATAAAAAACACTAACCAAAACAAGAAACTATTCAACCAAACGGAACGGGAGACGGACCTCATCACCCTGGCGATAAGAAATAATAATAACTAAATAGAACATGACAAAGGAAATTGATAAAGCCACAAGGAAACAGCCAAAGAAACAGCATCTTGGAACATCTTGGAATCTGACATTTTGGAATATCTTGGAATCTTGCATCTTGGAACAGCCGTCTGCATCAGACGGCATAGATGAAAAACTATTGAGTGCGTTCTTAGATATACATTTTAAAAGGCATTGTTGAAATGGCAGCATGGTTGAGTTGTCAGTCTCTTGCCAAAATATGTTCCATAATTCTTCGCATTTCGGGTGCAAAAAGCATCGAATTTCCTCAATTCTTCGTGCAAGGGGAACATTTATCTGTAAGTTACTATCACACGTCGTGTCTGGGGGACCAACTTGCAACGAGGCAATGCATGCAGGAATGCAATTTAGTTTTTAACTTTGTAGAGTAATTATTACTTTGAATTTGTATTATTATTGTGTATGCTCAGCTTGTTCTCCCTCATGCATGTTATAATTTCACTTCTTATGGTCAATTATCTGTAGCAGTGTGAGTCTTGCTTTCAATTTAAAAGAATCTTTCATTTGATGACGTGACTATGTGATTTAATGAGCAAGCTGTTGCAAAGCCGGTTCCATTATTGGTTGCTTTATGCACACATTGTTTACAGCATTCGTACCTTTGTTTTGCTATTTTATTAATTTAAATTTTATTATTATTATTATTATTATTATTATTATTATTATTATTATTATTATTATTATTATTATTATTATGATTATTATTATTACTTTTACTATTTATATTATTATTACAGTTATTTTGTATAATAATAAAAATAATATAATTATTATTATTATTTTTATTATTAATATTATTATTTCTTTTAGATATAATTTCTTTATTAGAATGTAGGCTAACTTGAGGGACTGTAACTAAACCTTAAGTAGTCCTGAACAATTAGGCCTACCTGTAGCAATGATAGGATTCTTTAAATTTATTGTGTATCATTTTATATGCTTCTCAAATAATTTACAAAATGTTAGAATTTTGCCCCTCAACCCACTGGCATATTAAGCCCCGTTGTTCGACTTATTTTAGATGAAACGCTCTTCGAATCCCTCTGTTAGGTACATTGGGAACTTTATATCTAGTTGGTTGATGTTGCAAATCTTGTTGAATGTGTTGTTTGTTAGTGGAAGGGGTTAGAGATGCGCCCCCAAGAGCAAGGGATTGAATTTAAGGGATTTAATATGATACACAAACCCTCTGGCTCACACTATGTGATGGAGGTGGCATAGTGTAAGACATTGGGGTTAGGTGGATTAATTTAAAAGTTTACGCAACAATTGTAGTTCTGTCTTGTTTACTTAGTTTAACAATTTAGTTAATTTCCGTCGACAAGTTTACAATTACCATCAATCATTTATCACCAATTTATCATCAATTTATCATCAATCAATTTATCATCAATCAATTTATCATCAATCAATTATCATCAATCATCAATTATCATCAATCATCAATTACCATCATTTACAATTACCATCATTTACAATTACCATCGACAAGTTTACAATTACCAGCTATATATATATTTTACAAGTACTAATACTAAAATTATTAGTTTACAGAAATAATAATTGTAAATTGCTGTTAGGGGTGCCCATAAAATACTTGTAAAATTATTAGTGGAACAAATTACATTGGAAGTAGTGGTAGTAGTAGCAGTAGTTTTAGGATCTGATCTAGCAAAAGAAAAGGTAAGTGCAATTCACAACAGTAAATTAAATAGTTGATTCACAACCTCTCTTCCTACATAAAGTACTGGAATAAAACACGCTATCGATCATATCACTTTAGAGCTCAGGTATTAAATTACAATTTAAATAACAGTAATATTGAAGGTTTCTGATACCCGTCGAACCTGAGAGGTTAATTGGGTTTGTACAAGGACTGAATTTTCTGGTCAATTAACACGGCTTCGTAAATGACGATTATTAAGTCCTCTCGATGATCAGACGTTTCTGGTCAGCGTTAACTGAGTGTTAACTGCGCTTCAGGTCAGCGAGAATTTCAGGCTATGTTATAAGTTGGTGGGATTGATGCGTTTCAGGTAAGGGAAAAAATTATGTTTTTCAGCTAGAATGGCGTTCTTAAGGTCACGATGAGTTGTATAATTCAATTCATTAGAGTTGAATTACGCCAATTATTTCAGGCCAGCAGGAATGACCTGCTCTAAGTCAGTAGGAAAACTTGTTCCAGGTCAATTGAAACGACTTGCTTCAGGTCAGTAGGAACTTTACTTCCTTCAGGTCAGTGGGAACTTTACTTCCTTCAGGTCAGTAGGAACTTTACTTCCTTCAGGTCAGTGGGAACTTTACTTCCTTCAGGTCAGTAGGAACTTTACTTCCTTCAGGTCAGTGGGAACTTTACTTCCTTCAGGTCAGTAGGAACTTTACTTCCTTCAGGTCAGTAGGAACTTTACTTCCTTCAAGACAGTAGGAACTTTCCTTCCTTCAGGACAGTAGGAACGACTTGCTCCTTAGGTCCCAGGTCGTCACATCAACAGATCTAGTCTATCCTCTTTAAGCGACGTATAAAATTCCCCCAGAGCATTATACAACGTCCCAATGAGGTGAAATGCTACTTTCCCATGGGGATGTATGGGTCAGGATTTTGCTCTCTCAGGGGTCCTTCGTATACATTCTCAGGGGGTGTAAAATATGCCCCCTTATGGGTTCAACATATACTCCCTCTGGGGTATATGACGTTTACACTCAGTGATGTACAAACTGCTTTCCCCTCACCCCATCTCTGGGGTGTAAGGAGGAAAGTGGTTGTAAGAGATATTCCATCTTGGGAGTAAGATATACTATTTTAGGCTTATGCGCAGTCTCAGGGGGCATAAGATATCACCTTTCAGGATTATATGATATATTCGTTCCTTAATGGAAGATGTAAACTGCCATTGTTCAATCTGTTCACTCGTTCAACACAGCCACGAGTGAGCATACTGTACAAGGAAGCATTCACTCGTATGTTCACTCGTGGCTGTTCACTCGTATGTTTACTTGTGGCTGTTCACTCGTGGCTGTGTTGAATTGCTCCATTGTACAGTATGTTCACTCAAAGGTGTAGTACAAATTCACTTAGCAGTATTGTGCTTACTCCCTCTCAAGTATAAGATAAGCTCCCTCAAGGGGTAAGTGATAACCTCTCACAGTTGTGTTAAGATCACTTCCACAAGGGTGGTATGATTACCTCAGTAATGAATGATATCACTCCCTCAGGGGTGCATGATAACCTCTATCAGTGGAGTCAGGGTCACTCCCTCAGGGGATGAGGTGTTATAACTTCTCCCAAAGGTGTAAGGATCAATCCATCAGGGTCGGGGCGGGGGGATGATTTGACGTGTTCTTTCAGTTGTATAATATATTACTCCTCTTTCGCTTATATGCTCGCTAAAATATGTATGGCAGACTTCCTCAGGAGTGTAGTATATGGTTCTCTAAGGGGTATATTACGCTCCGTTAAGTGTGTATTATATGCTCCAACATGGATATATGATATACTCAATTTGTGATGTGTGATACAGTTAATCAGTGACGCAACACATGCTACCTCAGAGGTGTATGTTATGCTCCCTAGTAGGGTAAAATTTTCTCACTTAGGGTGAGCAATATGCTCTTACAGTTGTGTAAAGTATGCTCCATAAGAGATATAAGATAAGCTCCTTCAGGTGTGAAAGATATGCTGACATGTTCCCATAGGAAAATAAAATATACTCCCTCAGGGGTGGGATATGCTGCCACAAGGGTCTGATAAATGCTCCCACAAGAGGGCAAGATATGCTTCGTCAGGGGAGTATGGTATTCTTCCTGGGGGGGGGGGGGTTAGAAATGCTCTCTCAGGGGTATATTTCCTCAGAGATGTATTTATGCTCCCCAACTTCTCGAAATATATCTCTATTAAACTTTCCATATGCGAAAAATGTGCATATTCTGAAAATATATATTTCAGCATACCTACACAGGTTGATTCTCCGTCCATGGACCGTGGTCGTATATTACAACTTAAAATACGGGTCAAACATATCACATATTTGTTAATAAATAACCTACGCGTTTCACTCTTTTAGTACTCATTGATGCTCTGAAATCTGAAACACTGAAACCAAAATATGTACAATTAGGCCACTCGTACGGATCTCGCCCCACGCAGCTAATACCAAGCTTTATCAGTGTCAAATTCCCTGTCATCTAATTTTAGTTTTCAACATTTGGCTGGAAGTAGCCATAAGAAGGAACAGTTTAAACCCCCATACTGAGAAATTCTTGATGAAAACAACGTCAGAGTGGCTCTTACCTTCCCCGTGGACGGTGCCAGAGGCACTCAGCACCATCAGCAACGTCCACACTAGAGTGCTCTGCCAACACCTTTTCACTCCTGCCATCTTGGTCCTCTTTGCCTCCTTCATAGTTAATTTTTTTTCACAATTCTGAAACTTATCAGTCGTTTTATAAGGTTTTCAAGAGCTCGGGTGTTTATGTGGTTTCATTATTGTATTGGTCATTTGAAGGAAACATTAAGTATTACCTCATTGGCGTCAACTGTTTCTTGAACGGAGCTAAAATGCTCTTTGGTTAGGTATATAACATTATCTGCGTATGATGAACTTGGTTGGTTTTCTTCGTTGTAATTCGAACACTGAGAGAACTGTCAAACTAAATTTACCAAAGTGTTGTCAAAAAATGGGTTTTTGATTTACACTTCTGTGTATCAGTTCATGATCAAATTTCCATAATAGTAATATCAATTTATCAAGATTACAGTAACAGTTCCACTACATTTCTAGTGCCAAATATACAAAAATATAGTTCATTTTTACACCAAATATCTTCCCAATGTTTCACCGATCAGACGACCAACCAGAGCTTTCAGAACATCCTCTCCATCTGTTCCGAATACATACAGAAGATTCCTTCGATCTGAATGGCTGCGAAAGGCCACGTATTGAGGAGCAACAAATATATATATCACAAACGGGGCTCATAAAAAAAAGTTCGATAATGCCCACTGGAAGATAAAGCAATATTTCTTACCAGAAAAGTTCAGGGGGAAACTGAGCACATTACTAGAAAGTTAACCCTGGCTTCGCTACCCTCAGCCCTTCTTCTCCAGACGCCAGGAGCAGCGGTTGGGTCAGTAGCCACACACAAACTTTACCTCCAATCGTATCTCTCCGACTTTCCATGTTTACAAGATGGATGTTTCGCGAGAATTAATATTTTCTGGCTAATAAATCTTAGTTTTTATTTCCTCATTTAGATTTATAGATTTTTCCAAGAGGTTCAGAATTATTTTAAAATATTATTAAATCACTTTACATCCATTCTCATCCTTCAGAGACTAAAGTTGTGGAATCGTAGTGTTTCAGGATTGGTTTTAAGGAAATTTAAAGTTGTCCTTTTGTAAAACTGGTTAATATTTCAAGGTCATGTGTGAAGAAATCCCAGGAATGGAGCATGATATATCTCAGCTCATCACTTTCACTGTCTGCAAATACAAAAAAATTGAAAATAAATAAAAAAATAGGTCATGACCTTTGCCCTTTATTCGTGTAACTTATTTTTCTGTGTATACGTGTAGCAGAGCTTACAGTTCACCTCCGGAAATCGCACCTTACACATCATCAGACCCCTATACCAGTGCCGAACATGTTCCGTAACGATAATGCCAAATTATCTTTATTTGTGATACTGGCATGAGAAGGAAATGTGCCAGCGAGGGTGTCGGGGGTGTAGCGCCGCACGGAGAGATGTTCGGAGACACCGTGCGCGTGGCCTCCACTCTCAGCAGCACGCGGATAACTGCACCCACCACCGCCTCTCTCAGCGCCCGCACCTCCACCGCACTCACACACACACTCACACACACACACACACGCGCGCACGCCTATCTCTCCTCTTCCTCCACCATTTCCTCCTCCTCATTCTCCTCTGCCATCTCTTGCCCTCCTCTTCTTTTTCTCTAATCGTCTTTTTTCTTCTCTTTCATGTGCTGAGCGCCATTAAGAAGTATTGTTAGAAGGAGAGGATTTGTTCTCCCTTTCCTCTCCTGCTCTTCATTACAACTGTCCGTTTGCCTCTTCCTTGTCTTTCTCTCTATAATTCTCTCTCTCTCTCTACTCTCTCTCTCTCTCTCTCTCTCTCTCTCTCTCTCTCTCTCTCTCTCTCTCTCTCTCTCTCTCTCTCTCTCTCTCTCTCTCTCTCTCTCTCTCTCTCTCTCTCTCTCTCTGGCAGGGTCACCCTAAGGCGGATTATTATTAAAGGGGATCAGTAATATTAACAGCCTGAGGGAAGAAGAGCGCTGAGGAGATACAAAGCGGAAATGAAGAAAGAGAGAGAGAGAGAGAGAGAGAGAGAGAGAGAGAGAGAGAGAGAGAGAGAGAGAGAGAGAGAGAGAGAGAGAGAGAGAGAGAGAGAGAGAGAGAGAGAGAGAGAGAGAGAGAGAGAGAGACAGACAGACAGACAGACAGACAGACAGACAGACAGACAGACAGACAGACAGACAGACAGACAGACAGACAGACAGACAGACAGACAGAGAAAGGATGTAGTGAAAAGAGAGAAAGCGTAATCCGAAAACCAAAATATGATGCATAATTAACAATAATAGTTTTCCTCTAACATTGTTTACAGTTCATGCATTACGGTGTCTCACATATGCATAATTAACCAATAATTCAACAGGACAACATTGCCAAAAGGCCATTTTAACATAATATAATCACCGTGGATGGGGACTGTTGGCAGAGTTTAACACTGGACTCGAAAGAGACAAACATAACAGACGACTTGACACTCAAGGGAAAATATTTGGATGAAGAAAAAAGGAAGAGTTGGCAAAGGTCTTGCAAGAAAATATAACTGCTTGTGTCACGCATGACACTCGGCATGACGACTACACCCCAGTATGACTGTCATGAGTTACGAGACAACATCAGGAAGTCTGACACGAGTTACGAGACAACATTAGGAAGTCTGACACGAGTTACGAGACAACATTAGGAAGTCTGACACGAGTTACGAGACAACATTAGGAAGTCTGACACGAGTTACGAGACAACATCAGGAAGTCTGACACGCGTTACGAGACAACATCAGGAAGTCTGACACCAGTTACGAGACAACATCAGGAAGTCTGACACGAGATACGAGACAACATCAGGAAGTCTGACACGAGATACGAGACAACATCAGGAAGTCTGACACCAGTTACGAGACAACATCAGGAAGTCTGACACGAGTTACGAGACAACATCAGGAAGTCTGACACGAGTTACGAGACAACATCAGGAAGTCTGACACGCGTTACGAGACAACATCAGGAAGTCTGACACCAGTTACGAGACAACATCAGGAAGTCTGACACGAGATACGAGACAACATCAGGAAGTCTGACACGAGTTACGAGACAACATCAGGAAGTCTGACACGAGTTACGAGACAACATCAGGAAGTCTGACACGAGTTACGAGACAACATCAGGAAGTCTGACACGAGTTACGAGACAACATCAGGAAGTCTGACACGAGTTACGAGACAACATCAGGAAGTCTGACACGAGTTACGAGACAACATCAGGAAGTCTGACACGAGTTACGAGACTTCAAGACTGACACAAACTACAAGGTCACAGATCGATAACAAATGAAATAGAAAGCAAACTCTGGCCGAAATAAAAGACGAACGAACGAGGAAGAAGACAAAGAGGAAGTCATAAGACAAAGGGAGAAAGCTGACGAATAATAACGAAGCCAGAGCATAAGACTTCGATAGCGAAGAACGTCGATAACAAGCACTGGGATATATACAGACGATGAGTCACAATAACGTGGCTAAAGTAAGTTGACCAGACCACACACTAGAAGGTGAAGGGACGACGATGTTTCGGTCCGTCCTGGACCATTCTCAAGTCGATGATCGACTTGAGAATGGTCCAGGACGGACCGAAACGTCGTCGTCCCTTCACCTTCTGGGATATATACTGCTTGTTGTATAGACAGATAACAAGACGCAAGATCTCTTGACGGAGTCCGGTAAGATGAAGCTTGAAAAAGAGGAAGAGAAAAGCTTCACGGAGCTGAAGGTTAAGGGAGATGAAAAGGAAAGTGAACGAGACAGGACGAACCGGAATGAGTGTCTTGAATGACGAGGAAGATGAAAGCGAGTGAGACAGAGCAAATTACAGAGGTCCATCTGCTAGGAAAACCCCCTGAGATGAAAGAGAGAGAGAGAAGAAAGAGCAAGCGTGGCAGGAAAGGAGATTGCACAGCAGAAGCTGACCCCCCAAGCTTGCCAGTCACGGCCCTAAATCTGGCCTGGGTAATCGGGTCGGTAATTGTCCGCGAGGATTCAAAGGACGGGAGAAAAGCAATTAAGAGGGCGAGACCGAAGGCGAGTTAAGTGCTGCTTGTAAACGAGATCTGATTAACAGGGAGATAAATATGCATCAGGGGGCTCCTACATCCTCGCCCCTCGACCTCCTCCTCCTGCTGCTGCTGCTGCTGCTGTTGCTGCTGCTGCTGCTGCTGCTTCTCCTCCTCCTTCCTTCCTTCCTTCCTTCCTCAGGCGCCATTTATCCTCCGCTTCCTGCAGGCGTCACTGCCTCTCCTACTCCTTCTGCAGTTGTCATTTCCTCTCTAATTCCGGCAGGAATCACGTTTTTCTTTTCCTGCCGGTGGTGTCACAGCCTCTCTTCATCCTGCCGGTGGTGTCACAGCCTCTCTTCATCCTGCTGGTGGTGTCACAGCCTCTCTTCATCCTGCCGGTGGTGTCACAGCCTCTCTTCATCCTGCCGGTGGTGTCACAGCCTCTCTTCATCCTGCTGGTGGTGTCACAGCGTCTCTTTATCCTGCCGGTGGTGTCACAGCGTCTTTTCATCCTACCGGTGGTGTCACAGCGTCTTTTCATCCTACCGGTGGTGTCACAGCGTCTCTTCATCCTACCGGTGGTGTCACAGCGTCTCTTCATCCTACCGGTGGTGTCTCAGCGTCTCTTCATCCTACCGGTGTTGTCACAGCCTCTCTTCATCCTGCCGGTGGTGTCACAGCGTCTCTTCATCCTACCGGTGTTGTCACAGCGTCTCTTCATCCTGCCGGTGGTGTCACAGCGTCTCCTCATCCTGCCGGTGGTGTCACAGTCTCTCCTCATCCTGCCGGTGGTGTCACAGCATCTCTTCATCCTACCGGTGGTGTCACAGCGTCTCTTCATCCTGCCGGTGGTGTCACAGCGTCTCCTCATCCTGCCGGTGGTGTCACAGCATCTCTTCATCCTACCGGTGGTGTCACAGCGTCTCTTCATCCTGCCGGTGGTGTCACAGTCTCTCCTCATCCTGCCGGTGGTGTCACAGCGTCTCTTCATCCTACCGGTGGTGTCACAGCATCTCTTCATCCTACTGGTGGTGTCACAGCCTCTCCTCATCCTGCCGGTGGTGTCACAGCGTCTCTTCATCCTACCGGTGGTGTCACAGCCTCTCCTCATCCTGCCGGTGGTGTCAAAGCTTCTCCTCTTCTGATCGCGAGCGTTAATTCCACTCCAACCTCTGCAGGCGTCACTTCCTCTACTCTTAAAGCCGTCATTTCTTATTTCTCCAGCGTCATTTCCTCGTCTACTCCCGCAGGCTTCGTTTCCTTTCAGGTCACAGGCGTTACATTCCTCGTCCTCCTCGTCTTTCTCGTTCTCCTTCTCTTCCTTCTTTTGCTCTTCCTTCGCCTACTCTTCTCCTCTTTTCAGTCGATGATTGCTGGGTCTAAGTTTCACTACTGAGGGCCCTCAAAAGAAGGGAATGTTAAGAGTCAACCTGCTACATTTTACGTTTAAACGCTCCGATAGAAATTTGGGTTATGCAATGAGTTCGAGTTTCTCAATATGTACATCAATTTGAATACATATGTGCTAGGCATTTCAACAATTATTATTCACAGTGCAATGGCGTCTAGTTCAAGTGAAGCGTTTTTCTAGCATTTTATTTTTTTAGGGACCATATTCGTTTTTTTACAACGAACCATTAAATTAAACAAAAATATATATTCATATCGCAGTTAATCTAGGTGATGCCGGACTTCTTGAAAAAATGCGAATTTCTTAAAATATTTGCTCCCAGTTCAACATTTATTTGCAAATATATATAATGATTTTTAGGGTTTCATTATGTGAATTATGTTCTCTTGAATATCTTTTTTTTTAATTAAACTCCAATTCTGTAACCCTCTTCGTAGACACAAAACGCGATGAGTGTACACACAAGCGTAAATGAGTAATGCGTAATGAGCGTAATGTAAAGTAAAGTGAGTAAAGTAAAGTAAGTAAAGCGTAATGAGTGGACTTCATCGTAATAAATGTTGCACAAAAGTGGAAAGATTACAGTTCAGTGGGGAGAATTTGCACTGAAGTGATTGGGCTAGATGGTAGGGCACATTTCCTTTCACCTGATTCCTCTCTTCACCTAGCAATAAATTGGTTACCAAGAGCTATTACACATTACCCAATGTGTAATAGTCAACAAAATAAAATCCAGCCCATCAACCGTGAAGAGCTCAGTCCCCCAGGGTACTGTGCTTGCTCCAGTACTTTTTCTCATCCTCATATCGGACGTAGACATGAACACAACCTATAGAACTGTATCATCCTTTGCAGATGACACTAGGATTTTCATGAGAGTAGGCAACATAGAGGACACGGCGAACCTCCAATCAGATGTAGATCAGGTCTTTCTATGGGCTACAGAAAATAATATGATGTTTAACGAGGATAAGTTCCAGCTCATGCGCTATGGAAAAATTGAAAATATAAAAACAGAAACCACGTACAAAACTCAGGCAAATCATAACATAGAACGAAAAGGCAATGTAAAGGATCTGGGTGTACTCATGTCAGAAGACCTTACCTTTAAAGAACACAATAAAGTAGCCGTCACAACTGCAAGAAAAATGACAGGTTGGATAACAAGAATTTTTCACACTAGAGATGCTATACCGATGACGATACTTTTCAAAACGCTTGTGCTCTCTAGAGTGGAGTACTGCTGCACAATGACAGCACCTTTCAAAGCTGGAGAAATTGCTGACCTAGAGAGCGCGCAGAGATCCTTTACTGCTAGAATCCATTCAGTAAAACATCTAAATTACTGGGACCGACTAAAGAGCCTAAATCTGTACTCCCTTGAGCGCAGGCGGGAGAGATACATAATAATTTACACGTAGAAAATAATTGAGGGGCTGGTCCCAAACCTGCACACAGAAATAACACCACATGAGACCAGAAGACATGGCAGGATGTGCAGAATACCCCCGTTGAAAAGCAGAGGTGCAACAGGTACTCTGAGAGAGAACTTGATCAACATCAGAGGCCCGAGACTGTTCAACACGCTTCCACTACACATAAGGGACATAACTGGCCGACCCCTCACAGTGTTCAAGAGAGAACTGGATAAGCACCTCCAAAGGATACCTGATCAACCAGGCTGTGACTCATACGTCAGGCTGCGAGCAACCGCGTCTAACAGCCTGGTTGATCAGTCCAGCAACCAGGAGGCCTGGTCGACGACCGGGCCGCGGGGACACTAAGCCCCGGAAGCACCTCAAGGTAGCCTCAAGGTAGCTAGATGAGTTGTGTGTTGCATCCTAAAGAAGGTCAGAATTGTTGGATTAATCAGCATTATCGAGGGTAATATCGAGGATACCTGATCAACCAGACTGTGGTTCATACGTCAGGCTGCGAGCAGCCGCGCCCATCAGCAACCTGGCTCCTCATCAGACATCAACAACCTGGCCCTCTCCCAGATAAGTAGCCAAATTTGCCGGACTAACCTTTCTTGTAAGAAGGCGTCATGGAGGTTGACCAGACCACACACTAGAAAGTGAAGGGACGACGACGTTTTGCCGACTTGAGAATGGTCCAGGACGGACCGAAACGTCGTCGTCCCTTCACTTTTTAGTGTGTGGTCTGGTCAACATTTTTCAGCAACGTTATTGTGACTCATCGCCAGCCTGCGACTAGGAGGCTTCTGGTTAGTAAACATATTTTAAAGGATGAAGTAATTTCATCTAGTTATTCTAGTTATTCTAACTAGTCTAGTTATTCCCCACCGATCCCGTTACCTTAACTTTACCCTGAAACGATCCAGTCATCGTAGCTTCTCATGCTAGGCCGTTATATGCGCCATAAAACCACAACCTTATTCCTAAGCAAATATTAACCCAGATCTTTTGGAAATATAAACTTAATTGCTCCATTTGATTTAATTATTTGGCATAGTGTTATGATGGATATCCCTTCATTATGCTCGAATCCATTATGAGCAACAACATACTCATCCCACCGCCTGCAGTTCTGCACCCACATAAGACTTTTCTAACCTTTTCAGTTCTGCCTTCATATAAAACTCATCCCACCTCCTGTAGTTCTCCACCCACATAAGACTTTTCTAACCTTTTCAGTTCTGCCTTCATATAAAACTCATCCCACTGCCTGCAGTTCTGTCTTCATGCAAAAAACAAAGGAAATATCAGTGTAATTTGCATTTGTACACTCTTGGACATGTACATAATAAAACTGTATTATTTGTGCAAACATAAAAACAAAAAAACAATCAGTCGCCTCTGCCTATTAATATTTACATCCCAATTTAAACTGTTCCATGCAGTTGTATAATCTTTGTTAATACTGACGAGGGGGTTCAGGTTATTGGCGATGCTTCTCTGTCTCATGCAGGTTCGATGTCACTGTTGATGTGAACGTTTTGATTGTTCGAGGAACTGTAAACCCAAAGAACGAGAATCAACAAAGTTTTCTGCGTGGGGGTTCGAACACTGCGTCAAACGATGATCCTGTCAGCCAAATGGCACAATTTGCATGACTCGTTAAAACGATGTGACTGAGATTTAATTAACAGATTCGAGGTGTTTCTTAATGTCTCATCCAATGGAATTCTGAAATAAACTTTTATATATCTTTTTTAATTTAGTTTTTACTGTATTATTATCATTAAATGATTTGCATTGGTGCTATACATCATTATACTTATTAGTGCTATATATCATTATACTCACTAGTGCTATACACTTAGTATGAGTCCAAAGCGACCGTCTGGAAGTGTATCTAAGAGTTACGTCTGTCTCAAGTTACAACTATTTTCCATAAACCCAAATATCTAGAACCCAAAGGTCTTAGCAACACAAGTTCACTTGGGAGAAACACGTCTCTTGATTTTTATGGTCTTACTTTAATCGCATTATTAGAGGAGACCAGAATAAGACCACCTCTTGAGCTGGTCCATTAACAGATGAGACGTTTCATTGCTGTTTTTATGACCTTGCCGTCACGCATTATTAATGGGGATGCTTGCTCACACGCACGCACGCACGCTGGCATGCATGCACACACACACACACACACACACACACACACACACACACACACACATCTGGGAAGTCGGGAACACCATGAGCCGGCAGCTCTCCATTTGCAACTGCACTTAGGTAATTACAGCGGTCCTTGCGGCCGACCGGACAGCGCTCAGGGGTCATAGTTCCAAGGCTCCCGGTTCGATTCCAGACCTATAGGCAGAAGCAAATGGGCAATTTCTTTTACATGATGTTGCTGTTCACCTGGGTGTTAGATATCTAGTACGGGCTTCATCTTGGAGATGTGAGTGTGTGTGTGTGTATGTGCGTTAGAGGACAAATGCATATAGTTGAAATGATAAAGGAAAATTTAGGTCGGGATTCAGTACATTAGGCAACCGACGGTTAGAGAAGCGGGGTGCAAGAGCTACGAACTCTACCCTGCAGGCACAAATAGTAATATAATTCGTAAATACAAACATACATATATACACTCACACATATATAAACACACACATACACACACACACACACACACACACACACACACACACACACACACACACACACACACACACACACACACACACACACACACACACACACACACACACACACACACACACACACACACACACACACACACACATACACACACACATACACACACACGCACACACACGCACACACACACGAGGGATGAGGTATGAGGAGCGCCTGAGGGAACTGTGCCTTACGACACTAGAAAGAAGAACGGAGAGGGGGGGACATGATAGGAACGTATAAAATACTCAGAGGGATTGACAGAGTGGACATAGACGAAATGTTCACACGGAATAGTAACAGAACGAGGGGACATGGATGGAAGCTTGAAACTCAGATGAGTCACAGAGATGTTAGGAAGTTTTCTTTTAGCGTGAGAGTAGTGGGAAAATGGAATGCACTTCAGGAACAGGTTGTGGAAGCAAATACTATTCATAATTTTAAAACCAGGTATGATAGGGAAATGGGACAGGAGTCATTGCTGTAAACAACCGATGCTCGAAAGGCGGGATCCAAGAGTCAATGCTCGATCCTGCAGACACAACTAGGTGAGTACAACTAGGTGAGTACACACACACCTCTTAAGGCCCAACTCCCCTTTTCTACATGATCCTTTCCATACCCATCA